AAATTAGGTTCATCGAATAAGTACCCAAAGTTTATTTGATAAGATCTTCTAAGATCTTGTCTTCCACTTAGTTCCTATCACTCGCTAAACCTAAATCGTTTGTTATATTTCCGAATCCGCTCCGTAGATCTTCTTCTACAATCGCATACCTCTATAACGTTTTCTTTATAAAAAAAATATTTATGCGACATATCCCTCACATTTCCCTTTTTGTGACTTTATTTTTATATACTTAAAAAAACAACTAAAAATGGGAATTAATAATAAATAGAAGAGGTGAAGTGGCCTAGTCAGCGCATAGGGCCCATCAGTGCTTGGATCTTTAAATCTAAATTGTCTAAAATTAACATCCATTATTATATAATCATTTGAAGTAGTAAATACTTTAAAATAGTTCTTAATATGATTAAATACAATATGGTGACTTAACTATAATTTTCATATAGATGTAAGTTAAAAAAAAATAATTTCAATACAGTTAAATTAGGGAATGAGAAAAAAAAAATAGTCATTGTTTATCAATTTAGATGCACGTAGTGTTGTTAATTTGGGTTAGATTTTTAAAATCCCGTTTAAGATTTTAGCCATATATTTTTTTTGATAACACTAGATGCACATTCATGCAGTGTGGCTGAGCTATGGAACGAGTCGACTGGACAATAAAAAACATTTACCCTGCCTGAAAATTATAATTATTTTACATCTTCTAGATAGATTGAATTAGTACTCATCATTTGAGTGAAGAAAATATATTAGAACTGCAGGCGAACCATTATAATGCTTTCGAGGCTTATCGCCAACTTATAAAAAAAATGCGTTATTATTATATTCTAGCTAGAAAAATTTTTAGAGTTTAATAAATTGAAATATATTGTTAATAATCTGAGATGTTTCCTATAATTAAATAATTTTTATAAGAATTTAAGATTCTCCTTTTTCCCTTTTGCCAGCAAGGTAAAAAGATAATAAAAACAAAATGACGGAAAAAAATCAAAAAGTTATGAATGTGAATGTGAATAAGAATATAAGCGTATAATCTTGGACGAGAATGAACAGCAAGAATTTAACCGTTTAGACAGAATCTTTGTTCTTAAATATATATTAGTGATTTATTACAATTATAAGGTTCCAACTTTATTTTTGATCGAAATTGAGATAGGGGGTAAGATAATATTCATTCAGAATCGTATCAATTGTTATCTATTTAATATTAAAATATAATTAAATCAATTTCTATTTATTCAAAGTAACGAGAATTATTTATTTATTTGAGTATGGGGGGGGGGGGAGAGGAGTGAATTTATTTCGGGTATTTGGATCAGAAATTGCGGATATCATGCGGATACGACCAGAAAGTTGATATTTCATAAATTAGATAATAAATAAAAACAACATGTAATATACGAATATATCGTAACAAAATATAAAAAATGGCCAGAATCTTATTATAGGTAATATCAAATCAATTCATAATTTATGTAAGGAATATTAGGCATAATTTGGGTAATATTAATGATAATAATTTAACGAATATTAAAGTCTATTTATATAATCTATATCCTTTTTTATTCTTGCTTCTAAGTTCTCAGGCATCGTTTACAAGTAAGCGTGATTCGTTCACGTGATACGAAATTATTCGCTAAGTGATAACGTTATTTCAAATTTCGTTTTCTATTGGAAAAAAAAATAAGGAATGACGATCAACTTTTAAAATATCATTTAAATATCTTATATAGAGAAGGTAATCGCCGGGGTGGCCTAATGGGTTAGATGTATGCTTGGAAACAGAAGGATAAAGAGGACGCAGGTTCAATCCTGGGAGCATGATGACTGATGTGTAAAGACATATGGTAAGATGAATTTCGGAGCTTAGAGATGACACCTCGGTCACCGACAGGCCTGGACAGCCGGGTGCTAAGGATACCTGTCCAATAAACAAAATGTCATAGAGTAGAGAGTTAATTATATAGAAATAAAAGTACATTAAAAATTTGTTTTTTTCTTCTGAAGATCTGGTTTACGAGGGACCCGGGACAAAAAACTCTTAGCAAAATGAGACTATTTGAGGTTAAAATAATGAATTTTATTTTTAAAAAAGATATAAATTATTACTTAAATATGCTTAATAATTACCCAATTCTATCATTTGTTACAAATTATTTCTTTCTAATTTACTATTATATATTACATAAATAAATATTACCTATTTCTTGTTCAAAACTGCTTATTTGCGAATCTCATTTTAAAAAAAAATAGAGAACCTAAGTGTTATTTTATATGATATTTTTTTAAAAGCTGAGATAAATTTGGGGTTTTTTATCTTCATCCCGGTCCATTGCACCGTCCTGTTTGGGAAGAGGGGGCTAAGAATACATCTCATTATCAAAAAAAAAAGATTTTAGGTGACGCCGCCAAAATTTTTTATATACTTTGTGTAATGTTAATTTATTATTTTCTATTCAGAAAAAAAACTCCTAGTGGCAGGGGGGAGGGGATAAAGATAGAACTAAAATTTTGGGCCCATGTTAATTTCAATAATGGCATTTTGATTGGGACATTCCTTTTTACCCCCCTCCCCTATAGATATGTCAATGATTCTACCTATAAAAAATATTGAATAAGGAAAAATATGGTTAAAAGAGGTTTAGAAATTTTATTTGTGATATTTTATTTATTGGATTTAGCATATCAAATAAATGAACATATTATGCAAGGTAAAGTAATTATTAAAAATATAAAAATTGGGTCAAATTTAGATGAAAATATATATATTATGATTTTCCGATTGTATTCGTCATCATCGGTACGTATTTATTTATTTTAAATATCAAAAATAATAATAAAAAAAATGTTAAATTTTTTTTATACCAGAACACGGTCGCCCAGCCTGAACGCGGGTAGGGTCTAATATTTATTAATAAAATTGAGCCTAGCTGTGCTTATATTTTTAAGTAATAAATTATTCAATTTTGAGAAATCAATTATTATATTATAAATATTTTGCAAGAAACAAGGCGCCAATTTCTTATATAAGTAGAATATTGTTTTTATATTTATAAAAATATTCAATGATTCTACATTTAAATAATTTCCATGAAGTGGGGGGGGGGGTTAATTTTTATTATAATTTCGGACAAGGCTTTTTAGGATAAAATATAAATTTCGCCAAGATCGGGCCGAGCCGAAAAATATTTTTAAAAATAATTTCTTACGAGCAGGACTTAAAATATTATGCCCGATGCACTAATATAACCTTTTATTATTATTCTCATTTTTTTAAATTAATAAATATTAGGCTTTTAATTATATATTTTTTAAGAGGTCTCTAACTAGTTAAACCGGTTCAAAAATGATCCTTCCATCAATTTGGTAATATTTTTAATAATTACTACATTGCATCTTCATCAAAATCTTTATTGGTTGTGTAAAACAACCAACATTATAAACTTTTAATTAACTTATTCATTACGCATTATATTAACTTTTTTTAAAAAATAGGCAATAGTGATTGTGCTCCTGTCTATTTTTAAGCATTCAAATTGGCTGTATCGAATGCCATTAACCGAATGCACACTTATTTTACAACGCCTTTTATATCGCTTTTTACGTAATGTGATTAAGTGTTAAAAAGTACAAATCCGTGATTATTATAAAATATAAAAGCACAATATGCGATGAAAAGGAAGATCATTTTACTTATAGATTAATTTGTATAATTGAACTTTTCCATTTTGCCTTATAATTTTAATATTTAATTATTTTTAATAACGATAATTATAATTTAATTTAACCCCATGATACAATGTTATTATTGTCTGGATATATAAAATTAAGAAAAGAACTTCTTACTAACATGGTCGACTCCTCGTTATTTTGTTTTTAAGTTCTACCATTACTTTAGACACCTAACTTCCTTAAAGATGATAAAAGTCACACTCCAAATCCCGGCTCTCTATCCTGCCAACTACCGTTTTTAAAAACCTCATTTGTGGTTGATTTTAAAAAATGGCCCGATTAAGATTAGCTAAAAATAAAATTGTGTAAGCCATAAGATTTGGGGAATAGAAACCCAAACCTTTCTGATATCTATGAGCAAAATAGCATATTCATTTGGTTATAATATTAATAGAGCCGTTTTTAAAAATCGACTGCAATTGGACTTTTCAACACCACTACTGCTAACGATACGTCCCCATCTCTGAACCCCTCGCCTATTACCCTTGAGCTAGTTGGCGTTCTAAAGAATATAACAAATATCTCCATTCTCAATTAACCAATATTATTTATCTTTATGATAAAAATGACTTTAAAACTTAATCATCTATTAGATAATTCTCTCTTAACCGGTTTTCCATAATGTATAATAATATTTATCATTTTTCAAGCAATATTTCTAAATGGCACATTTCAAATTTGGGATTATTGCATATAATAAATTCGCATTTAAACGGTATCAATTATATTTACGATAACCACTCTTATACATTTGGAAATAGAAAAGATTAATCGTCGATCCCATGGTTTAGTGTCCTGGAAAATAGCAAATTTTTCAATTTTTACATTTAAAATAGCATTGTCTATTCGTAAATTTTTAGGATTCAATTTCACGCTTATTTAAATAGAATTACTGATTGATTTCATATAAAATTAATGGGGGGAGGGGGGTTATTAGATTTCGTTAAAAAATTATTGTAAAAGAAAATAAATTCCAACTAATAATTCCTTATGAGGGAAAGGTTTTTAGTCCCCCCCCCTCCAATATCCTATCTATCCTATTGCCTGATGAACCATATAATTTTTACCTATTATATGAAATTTTATTGTATAATGTATTTATGACGATTTTAAGATAATTTCATAAAATAAATAAATATATTTAATCAGTATATAAACGAGGAATAATAATAAATTACACTCTATTAGACTAGACCGCAATCAATCATATTTCATATTTATTAATTTTTTATTAAATATTTTTTAATCAAATATAATTTTTATTTTATTTATCATTTTTATTTGAATAGCTTCTTCATTTGATTGAGTTTTTTCCAAGAAAGGTAATACGATTTTTTTTGATATATATCAAAATGTTCTTCAATATTCTCAAGGATAATTTTTTTTAAAATTATATTTTAAAAAGTTTTGCCATTTTCCTATTTTTTTAAATCAAAGCAACTAGGTATATTGATATTTATAAACCTTATTAGCTAATAGGTCATATATATTTATATAGTTTTAATAAAGGACACAAAAGAGACTGGTAGATTGTTGTATGAGTCATAAATTACCCAAACCATCATTATCTGGACAAAGAATAAAAACTCGCAAAAGAGGTATCATGTTTACATAATGTCATCAGATATATTATGTTAAAAAAATTAGATGAAAAGGAGAAATATGAGCCAAATCTTTTCCGAGATAATATTGTATTCTTTCTCAACCAATGTGATGATCTTGAAAAGGCATATAAATATTTAGATGGAGCTGGATCAAAACTAGACTATCACAGATATGGAGAAACCTTATTTGACATTTTGATCACTGGTGCCATATTAGGTTAAAATTAAAAAGTTTTATTATTTAATATGAAAATATATTTGGTAATTAATGATGAAAACATCTACATTTATAAGCTTTAGATTACAATAACACTCAATTAAAAATGTATAAAATCTTTACTATTTTAAAATATTAATAATCCATTATTTTACATTAATAATCTTCATTTAGCACCTGGGGGAAGCTTAGTAATTGATCCTGAATTGGGGATATGTAAAATATCTGTTTTTGAATATCCCAATAATGATGAGCAATACAAAGCTTTGGCACAAGTAATTTTTTTAAAAAAATTTATAGATTTTATAATCACTCTGCATGGATAAAAAATAATTGGCCAACATTAAATTAAAAAAATGAATCTACAATTTCTAAATATTTAGAAAATAAAATGTTATTTTTTCTCAACATCTATTTTTACTTAAAGGTTTTTTTTGAGGAATTAATTTTATTATGAAAAAATAAACGTATTATAAAATAAGTTCTGCCTGGCTTATTATATTCAATGGTTGCTTTAAAATACAATTTAGCAAAAAGACATATTAAATTTTATTGGATTTCTCCACAAAAAAATATAAAGAATTATTATGTTCAGGTTTTCACAACTTGTTTATTAATTTTCAATATAGATTTAATTGTTAATGGTGAATTAAAATTTAATAACTAAATTTATTTATTTTTAAACTAGGGGAACAAAATTTTTTTAGGGGGGGGGAAGAGGGGGGCTGGGTTCTCCGTAGTTATGGCCCTGATAGTTCATAAAAAAGTTTCTATCCAATTGAACCTTTAAGAAATTAATATTTTAAATCAATTTGAAATGATCTAAATTAACAGCATTTTTTTAAAAAAAAAATAACATTTAATAGTAAAGGTCAAAGTTGTTAAAGGATCTCTAGATCCTGTATTTCGATATTAAAAAGTCGTATCTGTATCTAGATAGATTTTTGATTAAAATATCGGTATTGAGATATTATTTTAGACCATGTTTCTGTGTCTAGATCCATTTAAAAAGTAACAACTCTGGTAAAGGTGCTAGTGTTGTTAGACAGCTCATTTTGAGCCGATTTTTAAAAACGGCTAATTAAATATTTTACCCAAAGAAATATCGCCTAAGGCTCCAGATTTCGTTAATAAATGTCTAGACCTTTGTGCCATATATGAGCAAAATCTACGGACTTGAGCAATATTTTTCTAAATAAAATATTGAGTTAGCCGTTGTTAAATATCGGCTCAAACTGAGCCATTTAACAACACCGGAGTTGTTAAAAAATCTAGATACAAGTATCTAGATATAAAAATGTGGTATCTGTATCTAGATAGATTTTTAATTAAAATATCTGTATCTAGATATTATTGTAGACAATGTCAGTGACCCCTACACTTTTTGAGGGATAGAAGCAGAATACCCCCCTAAAGTACCCCCCCCCCCCCATTGTAAATTATTTTTTGACACCAATAAATTTCAAAAATAATTTTTATTGCATCAATATTAATATAATATAAATATAATGTAAAAAATATATGCTTTAAAAATATTATTTTTAAATTAATAATTTAGATAAATTAGGGGAAGAGAAAGCAAAAGAATTTATAATTTCATCAATATTTAATTGTTTAAATAAATTATTTTCCATTGATAAAATGGTTAAATTATTAAGAAATGGATCTTTCATGACACTACGAAGTCTTGTTTTAATTAGTTTAATTTTACTCATGACCCTTTCGGCAGTACATGATGTAGTAGGAATAGTTAATAAATATTTATATATAATTGTTAAATTTGGGAAAGCAGAAAAATTTATAAGCAGACGATAAGGTAAAATAAATGAATAATTTCTCCAGTCTGAATCATTCATCTCAGAATTATTATCATCATCAGAAGAAGCTAAATAATGTATTAGTAAAAATATTTTAATTAAATAAATTTACAATTCTCTGAATCTGACAAATCTTCTTTAACCACTAGGTCACAAGGAATAATTACGTCCCCCGTTTTAGCCATTTTATAAATATTTCTAAACATCAACATTTCCTCAAAAACTTGACATGCATTTAATTGATAAAATTCACAGATATCCTTGATATCATCTTTAACAATTGCCTTTTCCGCCATTCCCTTTGGGGTAAAAAATGATGTTTGACTCAAAAATTTTATCGATTCATTGTTAAATCTTTTACTAAACTGCATGATAATTAAATCAAGTGCAGCATAAAACACACTGATTTTAAAGCTAAAATAAAATATTATATTTAATGATGAAAGTATATATATACCTCTCCTTTTTGGATTGTAATGTTTGAAGTCTTGAACTTTCAAAATCAAAAGGTAAATTTCTCTTCTTCATAAAATCTTGGGCCTTTGAAAAGACATCCAAAAATTCAGTGTTATTATCTATTTTAGGATTATAAAATAATAAAAGATAATAATTTAAATTATACTTCTCATATTAATCAGGCAATCTTTTGCAAATTGAATTTGATTTATTGCAAACCCTATATCCTTCGAAATGGTTTGCAATTTTGTACAAGCCAAGCTTGTTATCAACAATATTTTATCCAAAACACATAGTGATAAAATAAAATCAAATTTTTCTATTCTATAGACTATAGCACTAGCCATAGTGGAAGTGGCATGATCTTCAGAATCCTTTAAATTTGCCAAAGCTGCCCTCAAAGCATCATAAAGTAGAAAAAAATTTACAATCGCCTTATATGATGTTAGCCAGCTTCTATAAATATAAAATAAACATTATATATCGAAACAATTAAGATAATATTGCCGAGTGGTATTCTTGATGCGTAAAAATCTATGTGATTTTGTCAGTAAGACACTCTGACATGTTTTGGACACTCCTTATCTTTTAACACCATTAAAATATACATAAATTTCGTCCAATATTCCCAAGACATTTCGCAGCTCTTTTACTGATTGGCATAATTGAACAACTATTAAATATAATCGATGACAATAGCATCAAATAAAAGCTGCCATTGGCGCCTCCGCTCTAATCAAAGCCTGCACTCCATTAATTCTTCCACTCATGTTTGAGGCGCCATCAAAGCTTTGCCCCACTAGGAATTCGAGTGGTAGATTCATGGAGCCAGGCTTGGATATTATATTCTTTTTAATATCGAGGCCTGTTGTATTTCCCTACAATAAATGTCTATCAGCCTTTCAACGGGCTTAGGTGTCTCGCTATTTTCAACATATCTCACTATCAAAGCTATTGCTTCTGATTTCGATACATCATATGTGCCATCAACTATAATTGAATAGCACCTGTTGAATTCAATCTCCTTTTGAATTTTTTTATAACCATATTTTTCATGGTTTCAATAAGAATATTTATGTTATTATATGATAACAGATTTGAATATAATTTAGATTTTAATCCCTTCATTTTTTCTCACTTCTTCTTTCTTCATTATCTTGTATATACATTTTAAGAACAGGCTCAGAATCTGCAATAAGTTTAATAAGGCTCATCATATTGCCATCTTGTTGCCTGTTCCCTCAGAAGGCTTGATTGTGAGATAAGCATTTATATTTTTTTTGGTTAATATTTTTGGGCATATTTTGACAATGATTTAAAAATTATAAATGATTATATATAAGATTTAATATTTAAATTTTTACTATTCCCTTTGATAAAATTTTAATTTTGCGCCAAATCTTGAAAGTGGAAAAATAATTTTATGATAAGAAATGTCGGATAACAAACTAATTTGCTAAACATCGACCATAAAAAATTTTTTAAAAAAAGAAAAAAGTACCCCTATAGAAATTTATAGAAGCAGTTGCTTCGGACCCCCCCCCCGTTTTAGGGGTCACTGGACAATGTATCTGTATCTAGATCCATTTAAAAAGTATCTTTTAACAACTCTGAACAACACTAAAAGGTACACAATCAAGCTGCAATCAGTTTTTCAAACAGCATAGAAAACTAATTTTTTTTATTGGTTTTTAGCTAAAATTTGGTTATGTTTTTTTTTAAAAGCAAGATTTACTATAATATAAAATTATTATTGATAACCTAATTTTATATTTAAAATTGTATTTTAGTTGTTCAATAAGATTATTAGAAGATACAAATACCTTGAAAAGTCTTTGGAGGATGATTTGAAGAAGGTAAATAAATATTTTTTTTTATTCTGAAAATTAATATTTGAGAATCTATATAACCTCTCCCTTTTTTCTTTAACTGAAGGAAAATTAATTTTTTTTTAATATATACATGCATGCTAACTGTATAATTCATATGGTTTTTTTAAACTGACAGATTTACTACAATATATTTTTAGTATTTAATAGTAATTATTTTGAATTGCGATTAAAGACATATTTTCTAAATATCAAAATATTTCATCATGACATCTTTAGACTAGAGGTCTTTTAATAGGCAGGTTTTAATCCAATCACCTGCCTATCCATTATTTAAAAATAATTTAGACTACTTGTCCTCCTGTCCATTTATCTAAAAAAAAATATTTAGCCTTCCTGCCCCCCCCCCATGCTCTAAAATTATTTTAAAGGTCCAATTCACTCTTTATTTTATTTTAATCAGGTTTAAAAATACAAAGCATAGACATGTATCAATTTTAAAAAAAAATTATTTAGACATATTTCTTTAAATTAACCATATATTTAATATAATAATTTTTACTTTGACTTGTTCACCTTCATTTTCCTCTAATTAAATAATCTTTTTGGGAATAAATTTACAAAAAAAATTTTAAAAATGGTGCAATTAAGTTGTTCAAAATTTATTAACACTTCACTTAATTGGAAATTAGAAAATATCATAAAATCTCAATTAACATTTAATATCTTTATTAGGATTTTAAACAATACACTGAACCCAGGTTCAAAATAAATTCCAGAATTCGGTTTGGGTTCGGATTATTTTTCAAAAAACCCGGGTTTTCTTCTTCGGGTTCGGTTTTATTCCCTGATTTTAATGTATTTAGTAGGGAGGTACCTATACCACTTTTTGGAGACCCATCCGATATTCCAGATATTATATTGATATCAGCCGATAACCAATCCGATATCATATCTAATTTTGTATTCTGTAAAGATACCGGTTTTAATTTTTGATATACTTTTTGTTATTACAACATCTATAATTTTTTTACTATACCATAACATATGTCATTTAAATATATTATCATGATCAGTTATAGTTTATATTCAATTCAATTGCTATTGTTTATATAATAAGTAATGACATTAATCTATTTACATAATTAGTAATAAACAAGTATATTATGAAATTTGAAATTAATATTTAAAATTAATATATCGAAGATTTCTTTTTAGAAATACCAAATTTCCAATTTATCAGAGATCGGTCTGCGGTGATGGGGACTTTTAATATTTACTAGCATCACTAAAAACAGATTCTGAAAAGATTAGTGAACACTTTTTTAAACAGAATGCGAAAAAAATAACTATATTGCAGAATGTTTATTAACTAATTATTACTATTAAAAAAATTAAACATAAAAATATTATTTCGATTTTATTTATAAAAAATAAATGGTTTTTTAGATATAACTTTTTTTAAATTTTGTTAAAAGCGCCATTTTATATCGGATCGGAAAATTTTATAATATTTGCCTATAATCGATATTTTAATATGGGCGAAGTATCGGCCCGATCCGATATAAAACATCGGTACATCTCTTGTATTTAGACTTCTATTTATTAAATAAAGTTTCCTCTGCTAATTTCATTCAAAAAAAAATCATTAAAATTAATCTGCCCATTTGCCCGCATATTGTTTTCAAAAGTATTTTTTTTTGGCCTATCCAATGACCTCTACTCTAGACTAGATTTGCCAAAAATGGAATAACCTATTAAAAATCTTCCCATAACATAATAATATCAAGGGGAGTACACACTTGGTAAGGGATTATTCGAATTTTTTTTTAAAAATATTTTTTACAACTTTATGATTTTGAATATGGAAATTATAGGTTTTGGTGTTTATCAAAGGATTTGATGAGGAGCAAAAGAACAAGCTCTCTAAATTTATAGGCGTTCTGCTGGCTAATAACTTTGTAAGTGCCAAAGTTTTGGAAACCCTCTTTCAAGATCATTTAGTCAAAGATGGTAAACAGATTTCATAAAAAAAATGTCTCTATTTTTTTCTTCAAAATATAACCAATTTAAATGTTTATTTATTTAATCCCCCCCCCTCCCTTCCCTTGCTTTATAAAATTTGACAGAATGTGAGATTAAGAAGATCAGAAGAAAATTTTTTTAAGTATAATCAGCTGAGTGGTGAGAGTTGATAAAAAAAAAGAGATACAGAGAATTGTTTATTATAAATCTGAGACCTGAAGAGGTTAGAAATTACAACCTGACTTCGATATAAGAAAATCATGATCACTCACTTCTATTTTGGCTAAGCCTGACACGGATAACTTATAACTTAGTTTAGGATATTTTTTATAATTTTGGCAGCATTTTATAGGTTGTATCAAATGGAGATTGATATAATATGAGCAGTAAATAATGAAACGGCCTGTTATATCATTTGTTTACTGATTGATATAATTTTGAATGACAGATTTATTTTAAACACAAATTATATATGGCTCCTCCCATATACTTGGACCAGGCTTGCAGGAAGCAGAATCACCAGAAATCATTTACAGAACTTTTGTGCGGGTATATCAGATAACTGACAGGGGAACCCTTCTTTCTAGCACTGTAGTTTTGCTGGCAATATATTAGGTTATTTGTCCAATAATAGTTTGGTGGATCCTTTGATTTACTCATTGCAAAAGAGGAAATGTTCCAAGGTCATGCGGATTTTAATATACGCACTAGAGGTTGACCCAGGCCAAACTGGCCTGCGGAAATTTTCTATCGATCTTTTTGTCCCTCCCCATATTTACTTTTACTTGGCATGTAAAAATATTTTAATATATTTTGTAAAAGTTTTCGGACTTGGTTTATAATAAAAAAAATTTTATAAATATTTTGCACAATTTGTCTAACCCAAAAATTCTTTGAGCCAGGCTACCCCAATCTCCACCAACTACCATAAGATTATAGATATATAAAAAAAGAAATTTATTGTTATAATTAATATCATAGAGTACCAATTATTTATTACAAATAAAAGACAACATTAACAGAGAACCCAGTATTTTTGTGAATTTCCATCTCATTTGAATTTGTTTCTTGACTAGGTTATCGGTGAGGTGATTGTTTGTACGATCTATTTATATTTCCCCCAACAGATCAGAATGGCCTCGTTGCCAGCTGAAAATTTCATAATTATTGTATTTTTCTTTTTTTCAATACTTTCAAATTATAGATAAGAATTTACAATAATGTAACATTATTAATTTTAGGTTTGGCCATAGAATTCGCCAAATCCGTCTTCAAATCGTGGATTAATAAAAAGGAAAGCATTACAAACGTTTCCAACGCCCTCAAAAGAAACAATTTGGATGACAAGCTTTTGGTAATCCTTTTTTTACATGTCTTGTTCCTTCCTACCTTTTCATTTAACTAATAAACGTTTTCCTCCCAAAAATTACTAGATTATTTAAAGTATTCAATTTTTTTATGTTGTGTCGTAATAAAGTTTTTTGGTAATCGATATTTTCATTCTCTAGAATTATATGAACTAGTTTAGGTGATTCATTTCACGTTTAACATAGCTGGTGAAGGACGGGCGTCTAATTTGGTATAATTTTCCTTAAATTAACACATTGTTTAAAAAACTGATATAAATAAAAGACATTAAAATTAAATTCCTAATTTTTTTAATTGGAAGTTTTCATTTGCTATAATCTTGTTCCCCTGCAAATTAAATTGCTTGGGCCAAGCCTGCTACTAATTTTATTTTTTTGCTCTTTGACTCTCTGGTTATGTTCTGAAATTTTTAGTTGAAAAAAAATATATATTAATAAGACGTTTTAGTATAAAATAAAGTAATATTAAATAAATTACTAAATTGCCTCAAATTATCCTTTTAAATTTTTTATTATTTTAGGGTATTTTTTTAAACTTAGGTTGCCAAATTTTTTAATTTATTTTTATGCTTAAGGTCAGTTCTGAACCAACTTTTCAAAAACAGTAGATATTTTGTACCCTATCTTATTAATTTTGCTATTTTATTTGATCTTAACTTATTTTTCGAAATCTTTTATAACGATGATTCGACACGTATAGAACCTGCTCCCTCCAAATAAAAGGAGTGCGGCTTACTTGGAAGAACACCTAAAAGCTGCGGGCCTTGAATCGTTGGTCACGCTGCACAGGGCTCAAGTATGCGATGAGACCAAGAAAACATTCAGAGTTCACCTCAAAAAAATGCTTGGCGATACGGATCTAAGTTTCGACGAGGTTGATTCATTCCCATTTATCGAATCTAAAAATTTTTTTGAAAAAATATTCTTATTAGGATCTGAAACAAAAACTCTTTTTTTTACTCTTATTTTTTTTAGATGGTTGGTAAATTGAAAAGCCTGCAACAATCCGGGAATTTCGAGGAATCGGATGTTATAGTTTTGGTAATTATTTATTTTATATTCAATGTTCTGTTCATAAGTTGGTATTTGCACATTTTTTTTTAAACTAGATTTGATTAGATATGCAGTATATCTCTCAATTAATTAACATATCTTTATTATAATACACATTTTTCTTTGGGAAGATATGGAACACCCTGATGAACATGGTCGAATGGAACAAGAAGGAGGACTTGATAGCCGAACAAACTCTCAAGCACCTCAAAGTGCATGCCCAACTTTTGAAGGCTTTTGTCACTTCCCCCAAAACTGAGGCTACTTTGTTAGCCAGGGTTTGAATTCGTATTATTATTTGTTTTACATTAATTAGATCACGTAATTCTGTAAAGTAAACGTAATTCTGTAAAGTTATAGGGAAAATCTTTATTACGAATCATGCAAGATGATTCACTTAAAAAAACAAATAAGTTTTTTTATTTTTTTCCAGGGAATTATCTTGTGTTTACTCTTTATTAGCAGTATTCATTAAAATGAATAATTTTAATATTTTATTCGTTTTTCATCTTAATTAGATCCAAGAATATTGCTACGATAACATGAATTTTATGAAGGTGTTTCAAAAGATAGTCATTACCCTCTACAAAAGTACATATTTTTTTTTTTTAACCTATCTTCAAAGTTGATTTTTCGTGAACAATATTAGAGTAAAATATAAATGCCAAAATTAAATCTCCTATTTATTTTATTCTATCTTCTTTTGTGAATCTACTATTTTAGCTATATAAATTAAACTTAAAAGCTGTATGTGTATTAGATCATTAATTATAATTATTTTTTAATTTTAAATCCTATTTTTCAAGAGCTGAACTTTGTTGCCAAATATAACTTTTATTTAGTAGTTTGATTTAATTTTTCTTTGGTGGGGACATATATCATAAATTATAATGTTGCGAGTATTTAGAAAAGTAGGTTTAGAGTCAAAATTTATATTCACATTTGTTGGGAACGACAATCATTATCCAAGATATGGAGTTTACAAATTAGTGGCAGACATTATCTCATGAGGATACGATATTGATATCACTGGAGTAATTAGCAGGAAGGGTACTTAGCAGACTGGAACATATAGAGGGAACTCAGTAGACTTTGAAATTTTTTTGGGTGTGAGGCAGTGAGTGTTACATACATAGGTGCCCCAAGAAGCAACAAGGGAGGCTGTGCCAATCACTTGATGAGTTGAGACTCGAGTGTGGCGTGGAAAGGCTGCACAGCTCAAAATACCGTGGGTGGTTACCCACAATTTCACCTATATGGATAGACGAGGGTTCAGTGACATTTTCAGGACACGGAATGGACCCAGACGAATGAGGATCTGGTCTGCTAAGAATATTTTTTTTATTAACAGGTATCATGACCATAATCGAATTGGATGGAAAAATAATGATGATTTTCAATTAAAATCTTCTCCCTTTTTATAGGGAAAGCCCATAAATATTAAAAAAATAAATAATAATATATAAAAATATGAGAATCATAACAAAAGACAATGCTAAAAATAAAATATTTCGAATGTTCCACCATTATAATATTTGGCGACCTTACCTGCGGTATTCCCAGCTGTGCAGCTTCTCCAAGCTCCTCTTAAATTCCCCCTCCTGCTCACGTGACCCACTGCCTCACCTAAAAAAGATTGGAGTTTCATGAGTTACACCACAAGGTTCCAGTCAGCTATATACCTCCTGTCTTTTTGCTATCCATGCGGATGGAATCAATAACCCATTCTCATGGGCTAAGGCCCATCATCTACTAGCCAAATGCTCCATATCTTGGGCTTAATGATTGTCATTCTCACCAAATGAGTCTCGAGATCCATATACTTGAGCAGGATATATACTATTATATAATATAAAATTTTGATTCTAAATCTACCTAAAGAAGAATTCACAATCAAGTTTTTTTTTGTTTTATTTATTTAACATATTCTTCTTCCCACACCTCCATTCAATTCACCCACTAATTTTAGTTACTTTATTTCTTTTCACAAATCAATAAAAATGTTTTCTTATTATATTTTTTCCAACAGAATTTAATTTATAGATACGAGCAAATAATTTTTTTTATTTTTAAAATAACCCACTATCTATGACAACTATCGTTGGGTGTCGATTTTTTAGCCGGCTAAAAATTCGCTTTAAAAGGAACTATACTGACATCAAGATTTTTCTCCTATACACAAAAACAAATTCTTAACAATTTTTCTTTAATCCAATTTTTCTATCAATTTCCTTCCAAACAACCCAATTTTTTCCTCCAATTATCACGCTCTATTATCCCATTAATCCTTTTTTTTACCCATCTCCCCACATCTATTTATTATCATTTATTTTTCCTTTTACTCTTTAAGTAATATTACTTTACCATCGCTATATTTTTTCCTTTTTTTAATCTTCTAGAAACAACCATCTTCCAACTTGAGTAAAGTAATATCTGTCTCACTCCTTTCCCCTCCTTTTAACGGTTCCCTTCCAACAAATATCACTTTTTTTTATTTCTACAATTTTTTTAAAAAATATTTTCCGAGATCCTAGTTTACGTATAACCATTTAATTATTAGAAAAGGGTAACATAGTTTAATACTCCCTCTACCATACGAAATTTGGCCAATATTTATTCTATCTTAATCTTGAATATCACTTCACTGCATAATAAATTCAGCCAATAAGGGTGAGGGTTAATTCTATTTAAATTCCGAATCTCATTCTAATTTTTGTAACATACATTACTTTATTTGTTTTATTTCATTACTTCTTTTATTTCTTTATTTGGAAATTGATGGAAAGATTGGAGGAGAATTTCTATTGATGAAAAAAAAATAATAGAAATTAGGGGAAATTTTTTTTTTGATTAGGTGAAAAAAATTCTTAATGACAAATTAAAAACTAAGTAACTATAATTATTTTTGTGGGTGATATTGCATGGAAGTGAGGGAAGGGAATAATAAAATGGGAATCATGACTAACGTATAAAAATATTTTTATTGTGCACTCTAGTGATGCAAAAATCATTCCTATAAGCCGATTTTTCTAAACGGCTACTCAATATTTTAATCCAGAAAAATATATTATGAAAGCTTAGATTTTTATCATAGAATGGCACAAAGGTTTTGGACATTAATGTAAATTATTATTATTTTTTGTTATAGGTGATGTCATAAGTGAAGAAACGATCATAGATTGGTACACCAAGAACCACTCGTCGAAGGGAAAGACAACATTCCTCGAGCAAATGAGATCTTTCGTTCATTGGTTGCAGAATGCTGAAGAAGGTAATGAAGATGGAATTTATTCGTTATATTTTCAATTTTTTTAATCTTTTTAACAGAGAGTGAAAGTGAATCGGACGATGAAATAATCAATGCCCTTGCTGACGATGAAAATAAAATTTTAGATGGAATACGCGAGATTACTATCGAAAATGGAGCTGTTTGAAAAATGATTTATTTTTTTTGAAATTATGTTTTTATTAAAAAATTCACAATTTTTATTATATTTATAAATCATATTTAATGTTTAAAAGATCAACCCTTATATATATTATGATTTATTTAGCTTAAAAACATTTTTTTTTATATAATAATTTTTTTCTTAATCCAGAACACTATAAATTATATAACAATATTTTATTTGCATAATTTTCTTCAAGCTTATATTGAATTATGTTTTTGCCTTATCATGGCCAGTTTTTTTAATATATTACATTATATAATATCATGTTTTTTGAGAAAACAAAAAAATAAAGTTTATTAATGATTGACCCCATTATCTAAATGGTATTTTTCATGTGTATAGATATTATATATATAATTATATTAAATTAATTAATATAAGGATGTGGCATAATCGAAGCAATCTAAAAAATATTTTAGTGAAGATTGTTTAATTTAAATAAATGATTGTGTTAAGTGTTATATAACATGAAATCGATATCTACAAAATGATGATTTTTTTAATTGGTATTTCACAAATCCTTAAGCACATAATGGGAGGAAGTTCGTTTTAAAATTTTGATGCGAAAATTATTTTAACATGCAAATAAATTATGACAAGCTTCATGTTAGAATTCAAAGAAATTTTGATGGCTTAGATTAATCATCAAAAATATTTTTGTAAAAATGGATGGGAATTTTTTTTTACTTACAAACACAAAGCAAAACGGCCTTCAAAGGTTCTAACAAAACTGCTATTTTTTACCAACTTAATCTAAACCTATTTATGAATCAAAAGGTCTCGAAGTTATGAAAAAAAGTATCTATAATTCAGAAAAAAATGACAATAGAAATAAGAATGAAAGAACTTTTTTTTATTAGAAAATATTTTTTAAATAAGAACAAAAAATTATATGCAATTGCATTTTTATATACGTAATAAATATGAATGTGGAGTATTCCAGGGTTAATTGTGAATGATAAATTATTCTTTTCATTTAAAATAACTCAATATGAATAATTTGTATTTGAATAAGCCTAATCTAAGGTTGTAATTGTAGTTCAGGGTTAAAGTCTGTAAATAGTTGGTTATAAAAAATCTCTAAACCTCTCATAGTTGATTCAACCATTATTTGGTAAAAATTTGGTCTATTATTTTTTAAAACTCAGAAGAAAAATGAATTAAATATAAAAGTTCAGTTATGATTCAGGAAATTATAAAATCTTAGGTAGGGGTTTATAATAAAATTTTATATATAAGAAAATCATGTGAAAAGATATTACTACTATTAGTTTTCAATTTTATTTGTATATTCAATTATTAGTATAAAAATATATAAATGAATATTTTATGATACAAAAAAATATGAAATAAGTGAAGCCTATTAATGAATTGACTATTGGATGTAAAAATTATATTATGGGAAGTAATTTTTTTTTAACTTTGCATTTGTTTTACATTTCCTGAAAGAGCTGATATTACAATGAAAAGAGATGAAGTGAAGTATCATTGAAGATATCATCCCAAGATTTTTCTGTGTCTTTGATTTTGTAATCATTTACCAATGGAATTTCTTCCACACTACCTTCTCTGAGGAGTGCATATATACATGGATATAGAGACTTCAAATGATTAGAAATATTTTTACTAGACATACTGGCAAAACTATTTCCAATCAATATAGTTTTATTTAAGATTGCCTTGCTCAAATTATTGGAGACAGCATTGGATACCACAACTTTAAGGGTGTTTAAATAATTTCCACATAACAAATTTTCATAATGAATCATATCACAATGAGGCATGTATACAATGATTAAGCAGTTTTCAAGTATATCGGAAGGCATATATGGGGTGAAATTAAGACTCAGGTATCTGGATATGTCAAATTTGCAGTCATTATTATCGGGTATTAAGGTATGTCTAAGGTTATCAATTAATATCTGTTTTTCGGAATAATCATAGCAAGGATCATAATTAATTATGCTCAAAAGATCAAATTTTTCAGAAGCTTTTTCAATATAATTTGCTATTGCAGAAAAAAATGCAAGTTGGTGAAATGATTGGATACTTGTTGAAAAATGGCCTAAACCAAACAATATCATCAAGACCTGGATTTTTGAATGATCATTAATATCAAAATTTTTATCTTCATCACTTATCAATTTGTGAACAGAAGATATTTTATGAATTGAATGTGATAAAAGAGAAAAATTATGATGCCAAAATTTGGTAGAGAGAATATTTTCACAAGTCATTCTTAATCTTGTTGTAAAAAACCTTTTGTCTAGCAATAAATCTTTATTTTGATTTAATGTTTTGTATATAAATATAATTTGGGGATCATCCATATTCTTATTTGCCCATTTTTTGTTTTTCTTGCGATGTTTAACAAAAACAAACTCGTCCTTTTGCATTATTTGATTGTGATAATTTTGGTTACAGTTAATGTCAAAAGATTTTACAATGTCCATAATAAATTATAATAATATAATATATTTATTCTATTAATTTATTATCTTCTTTAGGTAATAGAGATTGATATTCTTTCTTTAATGTTTCAATATCTCCAGCTTTAAAAAGCTCTAAACATTTGTCTGTATACTCTTTTGCATAACATGCATCAAATAAATCTCTTGGTGTGATTTCTTTTTGCACAACATCTCTCACACGATATGATACATATGGTTTTAGCTTAATAAATATGATTAATAATAGTGTATATATATTATATAAATATACCTTAAAATTGGTTAAATCTGGAACAACTAATTCAGGTATTGCCTCTTTATAAATGTTAAATATTCCTTGTTTGTTTTCAATAAAGCATGTATAAGGTAAAACATCACCAGCTGATAATGCATCATAAAGCATATTTAATTAATTATATAAATACGTGGAGTATATTTGTGTTGTTTATCGTGAGCCCTTGTTTTGCCTTTGGTTGTATAAAAAAATCTTCTAGGATTTCTACGACTGAATAAAATATTAGTGGTTGATATAGATCTTTTGAAAATATTAAAGTAATTTAAGGAATTTTTCTCAAGATTCATTTCAAAATGCCCAAATTGCAATTATACATAAGGCGTGAAGTAAAAATCTAGAAAAAGTATTAATATGGCTACTTTATCTTTAAATCAATGATTCATTGATAAAAGCTTGAATCATATTTAGACCCAAGACATCTTAAGTCTGATGGCCTTAAAAAACATCATAATTAGGAATTATATTTTATAAATACTAAACAATGCTTAATTATATATTAAGTGGGTAAAAAAAATATTGAAAATCAAACTAGGAGTATTTTCAAAAAGATAAATATAGGCAAAAAAATTATATATGAGAATTCGTTCTTTACATCAAGAATAGTATTTTCTTTATGATCTAGGGCTAAAAAAGCTTTGCCTGAAGATTAATACCCCGTCTGTCATAATTGGGTTTAATTCAATGATATATAGTTATATATATCATTGGTTTAATTATGATTAGTTACGATCTATATTTTTAAGTTCTTGGGCTGTAGAACTCGGATGAGGTTAGATGCATTAAGAAAATGAGAAGAATGGAGTGAAGATTGAACAATAAAGTGATGGAATGTTTGAAATAGGTCAGACGGATTGGGCACGGTTATATGGAAGTGAAAAATATTCTAAATATAGATGAGGGTAAATTATTTAGGATTAATCTAAATTTTTATTTCTTACTGCATATCAGAGAGTGCAGAGGTGCCTTTTACACGGCCCGGCCTCGATTTGTTTTTTCCAAAAAACTTTTTCGTCCGGATTTTTTTAAAGAAAATTTTCAGGCTCGGGGCCCAGATTTTTTTAAAAATATAATCTGTTTATTTTTAATTTTTATAGCTAGGTTTTAAAATGCAGCCCGGCCCGGGTATTTAAAAAAATTTATAGACTCAGCCCAGGTATGTTAAAAAATATATACTGCTCAGACGGTGTATCCAGGCCGGGCTTAGGTCCGAGCTTTCCCGTCTCTGCTATATATACATAGAATTGTAATGAAATAATTTAATGTGCAAAGAGTAGTGATAAAAAAAACTTGATTGCTAAAAAGAATAAAATAAATGAAAATTTAAAATATAAAATATATATAAAAAAAAATTTTATATAAAGCAAAAAAATTGACATAAAATAAAGTTAGTGAAAGGAAATGATAAAAATAAATATAAATTTTTTAAAAAAAGAAAAATAAATGATCAAAAATGAGAAGAGGAAAAAAAATGAGAAAATAATAAGAAAAATAAAGATTCAAAATGAAAAGAGATTGCAATTTAAAAATAAAATAAGTAAGAAAAATACAAAAAATTTAAGAAAAACACAAAAAGAAGAAGAAAAAAAAATTATTTAACAAGAATTTTAAAATATTTAATCAAATTTCCTTTTTTAAATAGGAATTTTTTCTTTTTTTGTTTTGACTATGAGAAACCCTATAAAAACAAACACCAAGGGTTTATGAGTTTTAACTCGAACCCGGGTACAAGAATTTTAAATTTATATAACAGCAACTTATTCAAAGCCGATTTCCTATGAGGGGTCCGAACCCGCCCCAGGCCGATATTACCCTGGAATTGATGGTTTGTGTCCCTAAATTGATCTCGGTTTGGTCCGTGGTTTCAAAATGCCTAAGCAAACAATTTTAAATTCTTGAACCCAGTTTGGGTCCACATCCCTAGTTATAAGTTTTCAAAAAATATGCTCCTCTATGCCCAGTTTCTCTAAATAAGTTAGCTTATTTACAAAACGCGAACCTGTATTATTGTTTTTTAAGAAAATCAAGCCTCGACATTTTAATTTGAATCTAACCTCTATTCGCTAAGGTTGGCACCCTTGGTATTCACCTTTATTTAAAGTCTTATCTCAGTCAGAACACATATTGTTCAGCTACACATTTATCTAAAAAGAATAAAATTAGCTTCTCTTCACAAATGGAATTAATTTTATGAGCTGTTTCTCTCAGTTCCATTCTCGTGCTTAATGTATTTTTGAAGAAGAAAAACATTAAAATCATTGAATTCTTGATAATAGTCAATTTTTACCTTATCAGAATTAACTCGTAATTTGCTCAGATTCTAAGGAGAATTCTAGCCGAATACTTTTAATTTTAATAGGGACCCCGCTAATAGTATGGATCCTGAAGTCGACGCTTCTACGTGAGCCCTAAGGTAATCAAAGATGGAAAAATATAAATAGGAAGTTTCGCTAAAAGGGCTAAAATGATAAGGAGTATTGT